GCAAAGGAATGGGTGGCCTGCCAGGATCAAGTTTGCTTCTGCCCTTTTAAGGCTAAAAAACCAAGGGGAACATTTCCAGAGAGAGAGCGAGAGAGTGAGAGAGTGAGAAGGAGGGAGGGACATTTGGAAGTCATAGAAAGTAGAAGAAAAGGAAGTTCTTGCTCCTAAAATCGTGTAGTGGATGTGCTCTATTTTGAAAATCAAAGCTGGGATGATCTGAATTCGCCATTTCTGTGCCACATGGTTCTCATCAAGACCTTCAGCACAACAGTTGTTTTCATGCTTTTTTAGGTTCTTCAAACTGCAGATATTAGATAAAGAAACATACTGACTAGAGCTAGTGTCTTTGCGGACACTTTGCTCCCAGGTGGAGAAATGTTGTACTGCCATTAAAGTGAAAAACATTAAATCAGATTTGTTGAATTTTCTGTCTCTGATTGCGTTTGTGTATAGACGTCCTGACCATAGACCTTTTTGGAATGTGTGCAATTTCCTCAATCCTCCTCCACAGCTGTGTGCAAACATGAAACCCCCGCTGCTGGAAAATGACCAACTTTGTGAATGAAAGGCTAATTATCGAACTGAAATATGTGACATTTTCCTATGAAATACAGTATATCCTGGTATGAATGAACACTCCTCCCGTCTTCAGACATCTGCAGTATGTATGTTGTCCTATGATGTTGGGTCAAGGATGAGGGCTGATGTCAGAGCGGCTGAGGTTATTTGGCAGGTCCAGACAGACGGTGAGTCATGGGAATGAATTTCTGCTCTGATCTGATGATTCAGCACTCCAACATCAAACAGGAAGGCCACAACTCACCAGCCCTGTCCCAGTCCCCTTCTGTCTAAGTTTGTGGTTGTCCAAAGGCTTGGCAGGCAGTATATGGAGGTAGGAAGGTAACAAAGCACATCCGAATATAGTGTTCATCCTTTCTACCAAGACCCCTTCATCTGATCAGCAGCATACCGTTGCCTTTATCCCACAATCCTTTGACTCTAAGTGGAATTTTTTTTATTTAGCGGTTTAAATAAATTTGGTAACACTTTACAATAAGGTTCCATTTGCTTACATTAAATGCTTGCATTTGTTAACTTGAACTTAGAATGAATAGTTTGACTAGTTTTTTAAAAAAAAGATCAATAGACTATAACACAAATATTGCTCATTGTTAATGTTAATGCATTACTAAAGGGACCCAGTTGAAAAATTGTACCTTAATTAATTTAAAAATGTTTTATGACTCGTCATGTCTCCTGAGAAATAAGCTTTATGGACACTTTGCCGATTTGCTTTGTCTGAATTTCACTTGGATTTGTTTTAGGTCATCAGACATGACGTCATAATGCCTTCATGCAGAAAACAGCTTGTTTAGTCATCGAGTGATTGGACAGGAATGCCGCTTCCTTGGGTTTTGGGCACAGGCTATCGCTGTCCTTTGTATATTTTGTCTTTGACTGTCCCTCTCTTTCCGTCATCTATCTCTTTCTCAGTCTCCTTTGATTTATCTTCTCTTACTCACTGCCAGCATTCTCTCTCAGACATGAGATTCATGTTTTGGGAATTTGATGGAGAGCTGTGAGCACAAATGTCCTTAAAAGGAATGAGTGTGATCATGGTTGTGTGTATGTTTCCTGCAGTGTGTGGTGGGAATGCTGCAGCAACACAGATTCCTGTCATGTTTCAATGTGTGCAGTGCGTCACCAGGCCTGTATCCCCTTCCAACCCCCTCCCACATCTAGTTCAGGATGGTCAATTGGTGATGCCCAAATCAGCTATAGTCTGTTAGTGTGGTCAACTAGTTTACAGAAAAAAAGAAAACAATAAGTTGTTTCTAAATTAATCGCCACTACAGCCCACAAGCATTTTCTAATGCGTTAACCTCCTTTGACAATATTTTTGAAAAATTCAAGTCTGACTCTATCTATAATCCATAGTTGTTGTTTTTTAATATAGATTAATAGTTTTATGCACTCAGTCTATTTATTTTGGATAAGCCGTTGGGTCAGTCTGCACTTAATAAGTGTGTGTGTGTGTGTGTGTGTGTGTGTGTATATAATAATAATAATAATAATAATAAATATATATATATATATATATATATGTGTATATGTGTGTGTATATAAATATATATGTATGTATATAAATATTAAACAAATAATAATAATTTGCCAGTCTTTTTACTCATGCAGGTTGACGTTTTATTTCTATTATTATTTAAACATCTCACCCCATGAGCAATAGCTTTTTTTAAAGTGTAGAAATGTTGCTTTAATTTCCATTTATGCACTTCATTCAGCTATTTATAAACGCAAGTACGCATCCAATGTGACCGAACCCTAAGAAATGCTTGTGATCATCTTTTGGTGGTCATGACTCTAAATCAGCCTAATTATACAGGACTAAGAGTAAGACAGACTAGCAGACTCTTCATTCAAACATCCCTACCCCCATTCCAAATGCACCCCAAAAAGACCTCCTGAAACATTTGACATTTACATATTTCCGTGGGAACCACAAAGCCCTGCACGCGGTTCTGTCAGTGAGGGAGGGCTGCTGGGGGGTGATGAATAAGATGGCACAATAGCCAATTCTAGTGAGTCTCAAGGTCTTTACTCTGACTTTGACCAGATAAAACAAACCGCCAAAGGATTTTGAGATGTCAGAAGTAGATCATCTCCCAAGGCCCTAAAGGCCAAAAAATATGCTGCATGTAAGAAAATAACTGTGGATCATTTTAATTGTATTGTCTGTGATTGGATTTTTGGCCTTCAGGATGTCTTTGTAAGCCCTGCCCTGGCTTGCATTGATTGTTAGGTCCGCCTCTAAAACCTTAAACAAGCACCAACAATTTCCCATGTAATAAGACATTCATTCTGTCTTTTTGTTATTTCTCTGTCTTCATTTCACTGGCATTGCAGTGAATCAGACTGCAATAGTCACTCATCATAGTCTACACTATTATATTATCCTGACTATGGGTTTGCTTCTAATATTTCACTCATACATTTTGTTTTTCCCTTTAGTGCTCTTGTAGTAATAAGATTCTTCAGAGTCACAAAGTTTGCATGATCTACAGGATGTTCAATTTGAGCTGACTCTCGAAGAATTTGGTGATGTTTAAACTTCCCCTTCCAGCATTAACCATAATGGCACTTTTTTATGGGTTTATAAATTATCGTATTATTGCCCTGTTGCTGAATCGCATGCCCAGTGTGTTTGGTCTGAGAATAAAGGGATCAGAGAAGGTTCAACAGCACCTTTACCAGAAGCCAAGATGAATTCCATCAGACTCTGGGGGCTCATGGTTTGTGAACCACACCGGGAGACCAGAACTAGAGAAAAATGTGACCATTTTAGATGGCCAAACAAGCACTGTTGGATAACTGGAATGGGTCAGGAGGGGGATAAAATGTTATGTGAGATCTCACAATATACAATGCATTCATTTGGAGTATTTCTGAACAGATCAAGTGCTTTCTTTCGTGACAATGTTTTTTCTGCGCTAGCTTTTTTAGATTTTAAAATGATTGTTTACTCAAATTAAAATGGTATTTTACTCTCCCTCATGTCATGCGAATTGTAAAAGCAATCCTTATGAATCGAACGGTGTAATCCAAGTGTTTACCATATTTGAGCACTGTGGATTAATTTATATATATATATTTTTTATTTCTATTTTAGATTTTGATTGAATTAAATTTCAATGAAGGTACAGATCTCAATTTCATTAAAAATACCAGTAACACTTTAAAATTAAAGCCCCATTAATGCATTAATTAACAATAGCAATGATCAAAAATGTTTGTTACAGTATTTATGATTCTTTTGATTTTGATTTCTGACATTTGTATTTTATTGTAGTGTTCATTAAATGTTGAAATTAACTTATTTTAACAACTAGAATCTTTTTGTTGCATGACCAAAATGTTTCAAATATGAATTAAAAGTCATGTGTTTGGAACCTAAATGAGGATAATCATTTAATGACACTGTTTTTGGGTGAACTAACTTTTTAAAATCTAAAATCTACAATGTGAATTCAGGAGTGTTACTATGGCTACCTATTGCCAAATCAAAGTTTTACCTCCTTTTTCCTCACTGCTGGTAGCACACATTAATTTATGTTACATTGAAATAGTCTCCCCTCCCTTTTGTCCCCTGCAAAGGTTAACTGCATCCTCAGTGGAGCATGATTCAGTTATAACAGGAAGTTGCACTGCACTGCCCTGCCCTGCCCTAGTCCACCCCCAAGAGCATGCAAGCGCTATCAGTGAACAATTATCCACATTATTTTCAAATATCTCTTGATTCTCTCAATGTCCCAGCTTGGATTTGACCTCACTTATATATTAAATGCAGTGTAGGATACAGTGTGAGTGTTCTGTCTGTGCTTTGAATAGTTTCATCTGTCTTTTGTGACTCAAGACACGTGCAAGCCTATAACCACATTCTGGATGGGCGTAGGCTCTTGTTAAAGAGAAATGCCAAGGGAAAGGGAAGTGTGAAAGTGTTGTATGAGGGTGTAGATCATTGTGTTCAGATCTTGATGTCAACACAGGGTGAAGTGACTAGAGGAGATGGGTTTACATTTATTTCCCTCTCTTTTTATAGCAGAACTTATAATAAAAGGCTATAAGGCTTCATCTGGCTCTTTGAAATTTAAATTTTGTCCTGAAAAGACCCTCAGATTGGACTGTGCCAACCATCTAGACAGTTTAATCCACAAATGTCTCCTCTTATTATTATCTACACTAAATCTGAAGTCGTGCCAGCTTTAAGTCCGAATGTTTCAAATATGCAGTGCAGATACAAACACTTCATTGTTTGGTGACCATTTCCAGGATGGTCAGTAACATATTGCACCATATTGCGCTGAATGGTAAAAAGATTTGTTCCAGCTTTATGGGTTTCAGATGCTCTCAGATGATTAAGGATAAATTTACCTCAATGTGTTTTGGCAGTCTCTGTGTAACCTGTCTCTCCATCTGTGTTACAGACAGTAAGGCCATAGTGGATGGGAACCTGAAGCTGATCCTGGGTCTGATATGGACACTTATCCTGCATTATTCCATCTCCATGCCCATGTGGGACGAGGAGGAGGAGACCGAAGAAAGCAAGCAGAAGACGCCCAAGCAGAGGCTGCTCGGATGGATACAGAACAAGCTGCCCGAGCTGCCCATCACCAACTTCAGCCGCGACTGGCAGTCAGGGAAAGCCCTTGGCGCGCTGGTGGACAGTTGTGCTCCAGGTGAACGGGGGATCTGGGAATTATGAAAGATCTCAAGATCTTTTCATACCACTTGAGGGCTGAAACCCTTAGTATTAAATTCTTCTGGTTAGTCTACGTGAATAATGAGGCCTGGGAAATCTAGCCAAGAATTATAATTTTTTTAGAATGTTGTTTTCTATTGATGATTTTCTATTACATAATTAATAATATAAGTAAGAATGGACAAGGAACACTGAATGAACTCCATGCAGGTACCTTTCTGAAGGTTTTGTGTAATTAAATCGGTTTTATACTGTTGCTTAGAAATGATTCAAACTTAAATAGTTAATCAAACTCTTAACACCTTTTAATGAGCATCTTTTTTATGCAAGACAAGGATATATATAAATGTATATAAAAACTAGTCTAATAACAGTCCTTAGAAAACTTTAATGGCCAAATACAATTAGTTTATTTTTTTCTTTTTGTTTGCAGGTCTTTGTCCAGACTGGGATTCCTGGGATCAGACCAAGCCTGTGGACAATGCCAGGGAGGCCATGCAGCAGGCTGATGACTGGCTTGGTGTTCCTCAGGTACTTTATTTGAGTTCAGTCATCTCTTGCCTTTTCATTAACTACTGAACAACCAGAGAACAATGTTCTAGAGCCCCTACCTGATGTGTTTCTAATTTAGTGCAACAACCATAGCTTTTGTGGTTTCATCATGACCTAAATTGTAATGAAAGCAAATGAAAAATCATTCGGCTCTGACACCCCACATGCCGTTTTGAACTGAGTCAAATCACTTTTTCTCTACTGATGTCCTGAAACTACCCAGTGAGGTTTTTTTTTGTTACGATGCGTGCCAAGCCTGGTGTATTGCGTGCCGTCGGTTATGCATGTGGTTAGATATGTTTCCGTCCTCTGGGTAGAAGTTACTATGATACAGACTTTTCTTCTTGTGTGTTTTGCCAATCTTCATACATTTCCTGCTGCCATGTGGACTTGGCTTCAAGACACCATATAACACTTTTACTAAAAACTAACTTGTTTTACAAAGTCTAAACTAATTGCATGCGTTTGGGCTAAATCACATGCCTTGTTTCTTCACTAGGTGATCACTCCAGAAGAAATTGTTGATCCCAATGTGGATGAGCACTCCGTTATGACATATCTGTCCCAGTTCCCCAAAGCCAAACTCAAGCCTGGTGCACCCCTGCGGCCCAAACTCAACCCCAAAAAGGCCCGTGCATATGGACCAGGTAAATCGTGATCAATTACTTATAGCAGTTTTGTTTACTGTGGTTTTTAGTTGAGTGATGTCTGCTATTGATATCATTTTAATGTTTGAGAGTCAGTTCTTGGTTAAGAGAAGATATTGTTCTGTGCCATGCAGGTATTGAGCCCACAGGTAATGTTGTGATGAAGAAGGCTGTGTTCACTGTTGAGACAATCAGCGCTGGTATGGGTGAGGTACTGGTTTACGTGGAAGACCCAGCCGGCCACCGCGAGGAGGCTAAAGTCACTGCCAACAATGACAAGAACCGCACTTACTCTGTGTTCTATGTACCAAAAGTCACTGGACAACACAAGGTACCTAAAAGTTTAAAGACACCTAAAAAAGATGAAAATAGAGAACAGAAAACATAGAATGGGACAAAACGCAAAGTGATATATTCAAAATAAGGGCAGTGCCTTTAAGTGTGGAAGAAACAGTCTTTCCTTGCTTTTAATAGACTGACCTGTGTCTGTTGTCCTAGGTGACTGTGCTGTTTGCAGGACAACACATCTCCAAGAGTCCATTTGAGGTGGATGTGGGAATGGCTCAGGGAGACTCCAGCAAGGTCACTGCCCAGGGCCCAGGACTTGAGCCTGCAGGCAACATTGCCAACAAGACCACATACTTTGACGTCTACACAGCTGGTACTTGCCCACAGTATATCATGCATTGTGTGACAGTCTAGATGAAAAATAGCATTATTTTGGTTGATATCAATGTAAATTTTCCATAGATGCAAAATAAAGAAATAAGCACTTTATTTTATGTGAAATTTAAATAAAATAGAATAAAGAAAATAAAACAAAATACATTTTGCCTGTATGTTATCTAAACAAAAAACTAAATATTATTTTAAAATAAATGGCAATAATAAGCATTTTATTTTTATTAAAAGACAAAAATGAAATGCTGCTTCCCATGTTATTTTTTTATTTGGATAAAATAATCTATATTTTGAAGTTATCTAAATAAATAAAATAGTTATTTTATTTAATCAAAATAACAAATAAACTAATAATAATATTTATATAATATTTCATCTAATAAAAGGGCATATTTAATGAATCGATAACAAGCAAAATTAGCACTTTGTTTCGTAAAAAATTAAATGGGTGAAAAGTATTTTCCTTTTTCTTTTATGTAAATGTGGTACAGGCAAAATAGGCTTTTTTACATAACGGATTTCTCTCTCAGGTGCTGGAGTAGGAGAGGTTGAGGTGGTCATTATGGATCCCAGTGGAAAGAAGGACACTGTTGAGTGCAGTGTTGAGGATAAGGGCAATAGCAGCTACCGATGTACCTACAAGCCCACTCTGGAGGGCCAGCACATCATCTATATCACCTTTGCTGGGGGCCAGATCTCCAAGAGCCCTTACACAGTCCATGTGGGAGAGGGTAAGTGCCAGGGAAGAGCTAAGCATGACTGTATTCAGTTTGAGAGGCAGGAAAGGGAAGTAGGTCAAGAGGATATACACACAGGATTCAGTTAAATGAGGCACGGAAAAGCCATTACCACTGAATATTCTGTATAAAACAAAGATAGCTTAGTTTTGTTATCTGTCCTTGCTGCATGTTCTTTTGTCTGCATTGCTTTTCTTGCTGTCTTTTTCCTCTGTTTTTCTTCACTGGAAATTGTGTCTCTCCTTTTGAAGGATGGGTGCTGTCTACATCCACTGGTATCTTTCCTTCTCTCTTTGGATCGGCCTCCTTTTGGCTTTTGATGTCATTTCCTGTTTCCTTGGATATGTCTTGGGTACTTGACCTGCTGCTTTTGTCAATGTCCTTTTGTTTTCTTGTTCAGTTGCCCCTCACTTTAGGCAACAAACCCTTTACATTTTATATAGTGCCAGTGAAATTACAGTAACATCATTTTGGACCACTGATTATACTGACCTGAAAATGTTTAACTGTCCATGTAAGTGCAAATAGATGTTCGTTTCTCAGGAGATGTGTAGACAATGTTATCCGTAGCGTTGGAAGCAAAGCAAAATTCTTGTGACTCAGTAGTGTGTGGCGCAGTAGTCAAATGGAACATTAAAATAGCATTTTGTTATCAGACAGTTTTTCCACCAGTATTATTCAGCACTGTACAGTGCTGAATAATTTTTACCACAAACACTTCCTCTTGTAAGGCTGTTTGGATCAAGACAAAAAGATAAGAATTTATACCATGAGCAGAGCCTAATATCTCTCCTCTAACATCCTTAGTGTTTTCCTTCCTTTTTAAATAATAGTTTCAATAGAAGTTTTGCTCTATCAACAGCTTCTGGTATCAAAGAATAAAATAATTGACTAGTCACTCTGTACTCTGCATTACTGTTGTAAAGCTTTGTTTTTATAAACAATAAAAGTCTGTATTGCAAGGCATTAAATTAGAATAATGTTAAACAAATACAGTTTCAAAAGAATACTCCTGACATTTATACATGCTGCTAACATGAGACTATTTTGATAACTAGCACTTACCCAACTTTGCACAGACAGTTAGTATGTTTCAACCCTGTCATGACCGTATAGAGGCTGTAAAGCCTTAAATACAAATCAGAAATGGACCATTCCTCATAATTGTGACATTGTGTTTCACAGTTGCAACTTTATATCAGACAGTGCAACTTTATATCAGACAGTGTAACTTTTTGTTTTAAACTCTTGTAATTGCTTTTTTTTTTTTTTTTTAGCTCCATAAGAAAATGACTGTTTACTGTAGCAATATAGAGCAAAATAGAATTGTATTTGTTATTTTTGTATTGATTAGTAATTGAGTGCCCCTTGCTTTATTTTCTGTTTCTTTTTGTAAATAGAAGGGTACACGGTTAACTACAATTTATACTAACTTGATTGTCTGTTCTAACCAGCCTGTAATCCAAGCCTGTGTAAAGCCAAGGGTCGTGGTCTGCAGCCTAAAGGCTTGAGGATCAAGGAGACTGCTGAGTTTAAGGTTTACACCAAAGGAGCTGGTACTGGAGAACTGAAAGTCACCATCAAAGGGCCCAGTGAGTGGACACCACACTCCTATTTACATATTCACACTGCCAGAGCCCTCTGTATTAACTCCATGCTATAGTACTAGATGTTTTATGATCTAGCTACTCAACTGTAGTATTTATTATACAGAGGGTCTTGAGGAGCCCTGTAAGAAGAAGGATCTGGGAGATGGCGAATACAGCTATGAGTATTACCCCTCCACACCTGGGAATTACATCATCACAATCACATGGGGCGGACAGCACATCCCACGCAGGTAAAACACATTTATATTTAATTTATACATTGGTCAAGTGCTTTTATCCCAAGCGACATGCATCACATTTCAGTCCATGTTCTTAAACCCATAATCTCGGTGTTGCTAGTGCCATGATCTACTGTTTAAACTAGAGGTGATTAGACTAAATGTCTCTTATCCCTCATCCAGCCCATTTGAGGTGAAGATTGGGTCTGAAGCAGGACCACAGCCAGTGAGGGCATGGGGTCCAGGACTAGAGAGTGGTGTTGTAGGCAAATCCGCTGACTTTGTTGTGGAAGCTGTTGGGGATGATGTGGGCACTTTGGGTATGCTCCACTAGCTTGGTCTACTTTTATCTGCCGTTTTGAATTGTAAATCCAGAGCAGCAGTCTCAATTTTGGGAATTCTCCGTTCAGGTTTCTCAGTGGAGGGCCCTTCCCCGGCTAAGATCGAATGTGACGATAAGGGAGATGGCTCCTGTGACGTGAGGTACTGGCCCACAGAACCGGGTGAATATGCCGTTCATGTGCTCTGTAAGAACGAGGACATCCAGCTCAGCCCTTTCATGGCTGAAATCGAGCCTGCTCCAGGAAAAGACTTTTATCCTGACAAGGTAATGAATCTGGCTTCCTTCTAGAGGTTTGATGTGAAAATGATTTCTAATATGAGCAGTTGGTAGTCCATATTCTACAGATTTAAATTAGGCTATTGGTGTCTCATTTGTAATTCAGGTGAAGGCTTATGGTCTAGGTCTGCAGAGCTCTGGCCTGTCTGTCGGCAAACCAGCTGAGTTCACCGTAGATGCCAAACTAGGTGGCAAAGCTCCTCTAAAGATTCAAGCTCAGGTGTTAATCTTGCTTTATTGCTCATGACTGACCTAAATCTCTCTAAATCCAAGCACTAACAAGCTCGTTCCCTCTCAGGACCGTGATGGAAACCCAGTGGATGTTCAGGTGAAGGACAATGGCAATGGAACATACAGCTGCAGCTATACACCTCGCAAACCTCTCAAACACACTGTGATGGTGTCATGGGGTGGAATCAACATCCCAGAGAGCCCATTCAGGGTGGGTAGTAATTCAGTAATTCTATGGATATGGATCTTAACCATATCTGTACTAGCACTTTACTTGAAGTCTTTATGTATTATAAAGGTATTCATTATGTAAACTATCACATTATGTATTTTCATAATATTATATGCATTTTAATATTTGCAGATTCCTTAGTTTTGTTTGTCTTGTGTTTTAATGCAATATATTTCTCAAGGTGTTTTACTAATTTATAAGATCATACAGTGCTTTACAAGGCATAAGTAATTCATTAAAACACTTTTATACTGTATAAGCTTCAAGTGTTACCGTTGCTGTTTGTTACATTAGTGCATTACTTTGTGTTTTCACTGTATTTGTTGTGTAGATGAATATTGGGGCAGGGTGCCATCCCAATAAGGTTAAAGTATCAGGACCTGGAGTGGCCAAGACAGGCCTGAAGGCATTTGAACCCACATACTTCACTGTGGATTGCGCTGAGGCTGGACAGGGTAAGAGCTTTAACTTTAAAAGAACTATGTGAACTAATAACATAAATCATGTCTTTTATGGGCAAGTAAGCTTAGTCTTTTTTTTTGTCTCTGTCTAGGTGACATCAGCATAGGCATCAAATGTGCTCCAGGTGTGGTGGGACCTGCTGAGGCTGACATTGATTTTGACATCATTAGAAATGACAATGATACATTCACTGTCAAATACACTCCCCCTGGAGCAGGCAGCTACACAATCATGGTGCTGTTTGCTAATCAGGTAAGAGGAAATACATGTGTATGTGGAGAAGTGGTCTAGTGGGGTTTCTTACATTTATTCAAACCTTTTTTTCTTCTAGACCATTCCTATGACTCCCATCAGAATCAAGGTCGATCCCTCTCATGATGCCAGCAAAGTTAAAGCAGAGGGGCCTGGACTCAGCCGCACTGGTGAGATTAATGGCAAAGACTAACATGGGCATCTCTGGAAGCCATCATGTTTGTAATTTTGTTTTTTTTAAAGTAAATTAAGTTTTTTATTTATCAATTTATTTTAGTTTGATTTAACACATTGTTACATTAAAAATAAAGCCCAAAATAAACCAAAAGTTTTTTCACCCTAAAGTTTGTTTTTAGTTTAAAGGTAATCTCTGTAATAGTGAAAAAAAAGCTCTTATTTTTCTCAAGGTGTGGAGCTGAACAAACCCACTCATTTCACTGTAAATACAAAGGCCGCAGGCAAAGCTAAACTTGATGCTCAGTTCACTGGACCCAACAAGGGAGAGGCGGTCCGTGACTTTGACGTCATCAACAATCATGACGGCACCCACACTGTTAAATACACCCCTGTCCAACAGGTGAGTACATGTTTGATATTTCAACTTTCCATGCCTGATGATGTCTGGTATTGAGCTGTTTACTAAATATAATTTATCCGTTGACTTCCTGTGGAATCTAAGTGCTAATTTTCTTCTTTAGGGCAATATGGGTTTGAATGTCACCTATGGTGGTGATCCCATTCCCAAGAGCCCATTTGCTGTAGCAGTTGCCCCATCTCTGGACCTCAGTAAAGTTAAAGTGGCTGGTCTTGGCAATAGTAAGTTATCAATTTCCTTGTCTAGTTTGTGACCAATTAACCTGAGTTATGAACACCCATTTAAAAGTCAAATTATATGCTCTTTTTTTCCCTCCAGCAATGGCTGTTGGAAAGGATCAGGACATCGCGGTCAAGTCTAAAGGAGCAGGTGGTCAGGGCAAGGTTGGCGCAAAGGTTACAGGTCCATCTGGCAAATCAGTGCCCTGTAAAGTTGAACCAGGCCTGAGCCCAGAAACCAGCCAGGTTCGTTTTATCCCCAGAGATAAGGGACCCTATGAGGTTGAACTGACATATGATGGTGCCCCCATCCCTGGCAGTCCATTCCCCGTGGAAGCCATTGCACCCACTGACCCATCTAAGGTGAGGCAGTTTAAAAATGTTGCTCAACCTAGGAATTAAATATTATTGCTGGTTTTACAAGATGACAAAAAGGCCTCAGGAAAAGCTCTTATGGGTTGTTTATTTTACAAACTGTAATTTGCCTAATGTTGCACAACTTCTCAGTGAGTGGTTTTGGCATTGGATCTGCTCATTGGCTTTAGTTGTAGAACAAATGCACTTTTTTTTTTATTCATATCCCAACGTCTCTTCTCATGTGTAGGTGCGATGTTCTGGGCCAGGTCTGGAGCGAGCTAAGGTTGGTGAGCCAGGAAAGTTTGTGGTCGATTGCACTAATGCTGGTCCTGCTGAGCTGACTATAGAGATCATCTCAGACAATGGCACTGAGGCTGAAGTCCATATTCAAGACAATGGGGATGGAACTTACACCATCACTTATATCCCTCTCTACCCCGGAGCTTATACCCTCACCATTCGCTACGGGGATCAGGATGTGCCAAACTTCCCAGCCAAACTTAACGTGGAGCCTGCTGTGGAAACCAGTGGAGTAAAAGTGTTCGGACCTGGAGTGGAGGGCAAAGGTAGTGTGGTCTTCTCAGGTTTAGAAGACAGGAATTACTTATCTTTGCTCACTTGGTCACTTTGAATGTTCAACTGTAGGTGTTTTCCGGGAGGCCACTACTGATTTCACTGTGGATGCTCGTGCTCTCACCAAAACGGGTGGCAATCATATTAAGACATGCATCAATAACCCATCAGGCAACCACACTGAAGCTCTGATCAGAGACCTGGGAGATGGGACTTACCAAGTGGAGTACACACCTTATGAGGAGGGTGAGTTTCCGTTTTCATTTCTTCTATTTTTAAATCATCAATTTCATCTAATGCTTAACTAACATTAGTCTATTAAATGTATTTAATTGCATTTAATTTGTACTTTAAATTATAATGCGATGCTTTGAATTCATTTGTAGCTTTTAAAATTATTAATTTTATTTGTTAGTGTTTTATTTTATTTTATTTTTTAATATATTGTATCATATCCATCTTGGCATCATTTGTAGTAAGTTTTACGAGGATATGCACCACTTTTAAAAATCTGTAAAAATGTAGTATATTATTGTAAAATTATAGATTGAATTTACTCTAATCTTCTGTGGCATATATTAAGGCACACACAGTGTTGAGGTCGCTTACGATGGCAGCCCGGTTCCAAAGAGCCCGTTCCGTGTGCCGGTGACCGAGGGTTGTGACCCTGCACGTGTGCGTGTACATGGCCCAGGACTTCAGTCTGGCATCACCAATAAACACAACAAGTTTACAGTGGAGACCCGGTGGGTAGATTCAGCACTCTGCTTTTTGGTTAATTTTGAGCTGCTGTTTTCTTGATTCAATCATCAGTCCCTGCATCAGTACATCTGGTTATAAGGTTCTCTGCCTCACTACTCGTCTGTATCTTGTGCAGTGGGGCTGGTACAGGTGGATTGGGGCTTGCTATGGAGGGACCTTCTGAGGCCAAAATGTCTTGCACTGATAACAAAGATGGCAGCTGTTGTGTTGAATACATCCCATATGAGCCAGGCACATACAACCTCAATGTTACCTATGGAGGCCAACCAATCACTGGTTAGTATTTTTGCATCATTTGTTAGTGTTTTATTTATTAGTGATGCAAAGGATCACAAAACTCCCGGTTAGGGTCATATTATTGTTTTTGAGTTGTGGATTGGATAGGCAAAATGTAACTGCTTCATATTTATTACTTAAAGCACACGTTACTAAAGTTAACTAAAGTTCAAACATTATTAAAGAAAAGTGAACAGTCAGTAATAAAATAAGAACAAATACACTAAACGCATAGATGAATACAATATAAAAAAGTCTAACAGTAGTGTTCTGGTACAGAAATGTAGTAATTAAATGTAAAATAACACTGTATAGTGTTGTTCACTGTATAAATTAAATATGGAATAATCTTGGTTAAAGCTAAGTTTTTTTCCCATTGATTACCATTAATGACAGACAGCATCAGGTCTCTATAGGCTGCTTTCAATTTAAGACCTAATGCATGGATTCAATATAATGATACACATCCTATTTCTTTCTTAACCATTTACATTCACTTAAGATATAATGACTGCGTTTACATGAATACTTGCCGAGACGGGTGTTTTGACAATTTTGGGCGTGTCCGACCATTCAAGGTGATGCAAAAGAGGAATGAATTGTGGTTTTGAGCTATTGAACAGCAGCGGTCTTATAGGCGACCTTTCCGAAATCTATATCTCACAAAAATATAGGAATCCGTTGCTCATCTCTCTAGCTGTTGCTAAGTAGTTCTCCAAAACTGGAAATCAAAGAAATCTTGCCACATCAATCACTGGACAAATTTAATCTCAGAACACATCTCAATGGAGAAACACAATTCACACAGAAGGAAGCAGATATCAGCCTTTGAAGACACCTGGTCCCCATTTTTGACATTCTTGACATTTTGACATTTCTTAATATCACACAAACCTAACTATAAGCAGTGTACATTACCAGACATATACCTCCCCCCTTCCGTTACTGCAGCTATCACTTCATACATACACAGGCATATACGATCCACACTCATGCATAACATGTTTTCAAAACACATTTCACCTCAAACAGCTTATTTTTGTTGTTGTTTGTCACCTTGTCGTGTCTTGTATGTACGTGATACACTCTGTACGTGGTGCTATAATCCCCCCTCCACTTATGTACCCAGGGTCTCACTAAATGGGGTGAATGGTTACGCACTGTATATAAATCTATTGTCTGTATTGTAATATATTGTGTATATATTTTTTTCCTTTATTAAAAATAAAGTTGTCCTCCGAAGAGGGGGGGTGGTGGTGGGCCAAAAAACAAAACAAAAAAGCAGCTGTGTGCTATAACAGAGTCGAGTTGAGCTCTTTTGCCTCTTCTTGCACTTGAATGTGTAAATTGACAAGACTAAATGCATGCAAATGACAAACTTTAACTGCAGAGTTGAACCGTCATAGAGTGCATCTCTGCGAATCACATGCGTGCCAAAGCATGGGGCCTGGTCCGTACGGGTCAACTACAATCTGTTACACCCTAATTATTTATTGAATGATTTTATTTCTATCTTATTTTATTTATTTATTTATTTGATCTTATACCCCCCTACAGGAAGCCCTTTCTCTGTACCTGTCCACGATACTGTCGACGCAACTAAAGTGAAATGCCAGGGTCAGGGGCTTGGAAACAACGTCCGTGCCAATATCCCACAGGTCTTTTCTGTGGATGCAAGCAAGGCTGGAGTGGCTCCTTTGCAGGTCAGAGTGCAGGGACCCAAAGGTGAGACCATGACCTAAGAGTCATCTTGTTTGTTTTGGATGTTTTTTTCCCTCCATTGAATCGGATGATTGTGACTATTACTGTTTGTCATGAAGGAGTCGTGGAGCCTGTTGAGGTGGTGGATAATGGTGACCGGACTCACACGGTTAGCTACGTACCCACCAGGGAGGGGCCGTATTCAATTAACGTCCTGTATGCTGATGAGGAGATCCCACAAAGGTAAAAGGAAATCCCACACATCTGTCACACCACCCTTTTACATGTCTCTCAACTTTAGATCACATTATGCTCTGTCGTGTGTTTCTTTTTAGGACACTCTTGAAAGTGTTAATGTCAGTCTAGAATAAAAATTATTGTTTTAAATGGATCTTGATCATCTTTTATATCGGTTTTATTTTATCCATTATTTTTATTGCAAAATCTAGGTTAAGATACTCATTGAAAGAAACTGACATGGGTTTACAAAAGAGTTTAGTGTTTTAGTTTTTAGTTCTGTCAAATGTACCAGTACCAAAGAAAAGAAAGTCTATGCTTAAATAAAAAATAAATAAATGTATAAATGTAACGATCATACTTGCTACAGCATTGATAGCGATTACTGTCAATTAGAGAAATATTTTAAGGGTGTTTTTTATTGTTTATTAATATTTAACAGCATAAAGTAATGTATTCAATAGCAGATTGCTGTAATGTTGAAATTGGCATTAGCATCGACTACTGGTATCATAGCAGGCCTGGTGCATTTTTAAATTCCCTTGATTCCTGTCCTTCCTTGCTCTTTATTTCCCCTCACACTCTTTTTGGTCTATTTATTCAGTCCTTATAAGGTGAAGGTTCTGCCCACTCATGATGCTAGTAAGGTCCGTGCCAGCGGTCCAGGTCTGAATACCACTGGTGTGCCTGCCAGTCTGCCCGTGGAGTTCACTATTGATGCCAAAGATGCAGGAGAGGGACTCTTAGCTGTCCAGATCACTGTGAGCTGATGCTTCTCTTTACAGCCATAAAGTAGCTGCTGACTCTTACAACCTTTTATGAATTGTTTGTTTCTTTAATGCTTATTTTAGGACCCTGAAGGGAAGCCAAAGAAGGCTAACATTCGTGATAATCAGGATGGGACATACCTTGTGTCCTATGTACCTGACATGACCGGGCGTTACACTATTCTCATCAAGTATGGTGGTGATGAGATCCCGTACTCCCCATATCGTATCAGAGCCCTGCCCACAGGAGATGCCAGCAAATGCACAGTCACAGGTATGTAATGATCAGGTCTTATAAGTCAACATAAATGACCAGTCTGTACATTACTGATTACAACCATATGTACCATGGAGACCCATTTCCATTTATTTCTGAATGAACTATTGAGCTATCAGAGCTCTAAATCTGAAAGTATATAATATATAGTAGGGCTGCACAATATATCGGAATAAAATCGATATTGCGGTATGGCTTAATGTGATCAAATCGTGATGGCTGCGGTTAGTGTTTTAGCGTTTTTTCATGTTTTAATTCTATCATGAGCTGCACGCAGTGCCATGCTTCACTCTGAAACCGGCAACACATTGTTTGCAAACTGCCAAAGTAAAAGCACAATGGTTTAACATTTTAAAAATGTAGAAATCAAGATGTAAATATTAGTATTGTAACTTTTTATTAAAAGATTTAAGAGAATTTAAATTGTTTAATGTCACACTGCAATTGTATTATTGAAATGTATTTTGTGTATTTTTTTAATAATAATCACAATAAGAATCATATTTATAATTTTGTAGTCATATTGAATGGGTCGCAAACAGTGGGAATTTGGCCTAAGCTCTGTTCACTTTATGGTTACTGAAAGAGGTTTAAGTTGGTTCTTGTGAGGATTATACCTAAGTGTGAACATTCAAGGTTGTAAAGTTTTTCCCAAATTGTTCAACCTTGAAAGCATGGTTCTTGCTCAAGTTTTAGCTTTTTGACATTTTCGTTTTCTATGCAGACACTCCCCAACAAAATCACACTAATCACTCTAAAATATTAATTCTTTTCCAATTACAGCTATAAAATCTGGTAAAAAATCCTGTTGTTTTTGTTTGTTTTTCATATTGCAATATGTATTTTATGCAAAGTGAGCCAGACTGCCAGACAGAGAGGGCCAATGTGCCTCTTTATTTACCCATTTCTGGTGTCTTAAGATTATTCTGATCCAGTGTGTATACTGGCAGACTATCTTGTGGTTTGGGAGTCACTGGAAACTAAATGTTTTGATGACTCTCCACTGTGTTCTTTGAGCCTTTTTTTGTCTAATCTGAAACCTAATGTTCAGGCTGGTTTTCACAAGGGAAAGTGTTTTTTGTTCTTTTGTGTAAAAGTGTGTAAAGCTTGTGTACTTCTCTCATCTTCATCCCCCACCCAGACACACACACCTCCTGTGCAGCGCTGCTCACATTCCCATCACTTCATTCCCTACCTCTGTTTTATCTCTTGCACACATTTTGTTGTATTTTGCCCTGATTGTTACTTTTTCACTTTTTCTTGCTCTGCTTCACGGTCTCAGTCTCAATTGGAGGTCACGGTTTGGGTAAGCGCTTTGAATAATGCTCTAGTCTTATAGTTTGGTCCTGCATGCAAAATTGCATTGAATTTGATAGTAAAGGGCTTATATTTTTTGCCGTCCTATCCACTACTTTAGCTAAGACATGTAGGTTATCTTGCATTTCCTGCCACTTCAAAATGACTTAAAGTACAATAGTGAATTAGTTGTCAACTGCAGGTGACTAATCACTAACTTCTTGTATTAGGTCTTCAATATGCCTGTATGATGGAATGTAATAGTACTGATATATATATATATATATATAAAATAAATTCTCTCTCAGCTTTTCTCATTTTTGTATTACATTAGTACTCTGGAAATTGAGGCAACGGAAACCAGGATAGTGGATCCATCTTTTTAGTCACAGAGGAGGAAAAGATGTCTAGATCAGTGATTCTCAACCTTTTTTACTCAAAAGCCTCCATTTGCCCAACACATTATTTGAAGATGAAGATATTTTCTGTATTTCTGCTGTAATTGACAGATTTTTGATTTACAGAAAATGGAAATATTGATTATTTTAAATTATCCATGGTTAATTTTGTGAGTCAAGAACTGTATATTAATCCATTAAAAGCAATACTTAAAGGAAAATAAAATATTTTAGTTAACATCTTGATTGTTTTTTTTTTTAGCATTGAAATTTAATATTAAAATCTATTAATTTTAAAACTTTTAGATTAAAGTAATCCTGTGGCCCCCTTGGAAGATTCCTGGGGCCCCCTGGTTGAGAACCACTGGTGGTGATGGATCCTACTTTTCTTAAGCCATCTGTTGCCTTGATGTTCCAGATATTTTGCATCTAGTGCATGGTGGAATGTTACTATGGAGGGATGGGTACTAAACTCCCTAATAACAAAACATCTGCCTGCATATTACCTGTTACTAAACCACTCTGTATTCTGTAGGAGCTGGTGTTGGTCCAACTATTCAGATTGGAGAGCAGACTGTCATCACTGTGGATGCAAAGGCCGCTGGGAAGGGCAAGGTGACATGCACAGTGTGCACTCCAGATGGAGGCGAGGTGGATGTGGACGTAGTTGAAAATGAAGATGGAACATTTGACATCTTCTACACAGCACCCCAGCCTGGGAAATATGTCATCTGTGTGCGCTTCGGTGGAGAGCACATCCCCAACAGCCCCTTCCAAGTCACGGTACATATATGCCAAATAGATCCTGTATTCATGTGGATCACAGTATATTCATTCAAAGGGTGGACAAACTCTTACAGGCAGCCTTTCCAGTGGGATTGTGCATTAAATATACACTGAATTACAGTGTGAAGGAATTCATAGCTTATTGTTGCAATTACACTGTTTTGCATCAACATGCAATTTAAGGGATTTGTTCACCCCAAAATTAAAATGGTCATCCACATGTTGTTCCAAAACCACATTTCTTTCTTCCATGATAAAACCCAAAAGTAGACCCTTAGATTAATGTTGTAGGTGCTCTGTTGTGGGGATTGGAGCTGTCAAGTTTTAAAGGGGTCATATAATGCCATTTTTGTACAAGCTAATATGATTCTTTAGGGTCTAAATTAAAAGTTTGTAATATACTTTAATTAAAAATTCTCATTAGTATTGTAAGAAAACACTTATTGAAGAAAACACATATATGGTCAAAAACAGCTCTGTTTTCAGCAAGCTGTTTCAGTGCATATGACTTTAAATGATAATGAGCTGCGCTCACGCCGCCCCTCTGTTCTGTGCATACA